TGATGCAGATAATAATATAAACTTCACTCATTTGAGACGGTAATTGTTTTCTTCCGGACTATTATTCGGAGGAAAGTAATTACCGTCTCAAGTATAAGTAACACCGTTTTTTTTATAGTATAAGGGGGCAAACGAGGAGACGGGTCACCTGATGGTAAGCAACTACAGCTCATGGACACCTGCAACTCAAAAGTGCGTTGCTGCCCTTGGAGTCCCTCCCGCTCGAGTCAGCGGGAAGGGGGATTTGGGCTCAGGTAACCTCACTCACTCAGTGAAAGAATTGATTAACAGTTTTCTGCGAGGCCGTGGTTTCATTCCGGTCGAGCCGGCACATTCGTGCCGAAGCATGGCTCTCCCACGGTATATTTGAAAACGACGATGTAATGTATACCGAACCACAATGTATAGCGAAATGTGTAATCGCAACTGGCACCCACAGGACAGCCTTGCCTAGTGTGGGGCCACCGGCAGCGTATCACATATTTTGTACTTTTTTTGGGAATAAATGATATTTTATATTAATATTCGAATTCGTTCAGTCGTTCTCGAGATCAGTACTAACAAATACGGTAAAAGTATATTTCAATTATAGTAAGCCAAAAACCTCCTTTCGGAGGCCAGGCCTATGTCCAACAGTGGAATAGTAAATGCAGTTGATGATGATGATACTTCAACTATAAACTTTTTAAGTCAAATCTAGAACAAATACAGTTTTCAGGTAAAACATTCATATGCAAACAATAAAAAATCGAAAGCTTATCTTAGTAGAAAATTCGATCCAAATGATTACAGCCGTTTTCATCATTGACGATGGAGATATAAAACTATGACAAAACAAAACAATAGTCTATGATTGTCTAGTCTATGATTGGTAGTAACATATGATCATACTCCTTACAGCTGTAATATGGTCGTACCGCAGCTAAAAGAAAGAAATACAGTTAGTGGAAGACCTCAAATGGATCAGGAAGAGGCCTCAATAGAGATTGGGGCCTCAACTGTGTGTTTTACTAAAAATATGTTAACTTTTTTTATGGTATAAGGGGGCAAACGAGCAGACATGTCACCTGATGTTAAGCTACTACCGCCGCCCATGGACACCTGCAACTCAAAAGTCACAAATGCGTTGCTGCCCTTGGAGTCCTATATGTTTTGTTGACATTCACAAGTAAATAGTTTTAAGATTTCGGATAGATAATAAATTGCCAAAAATTAATATAAATTTTATGTTCTTTTTTTTGTAAAACAAGCAGTAAAAATGTTCGATCTTCACCAAAAACGTCTTAAATTAGAGTCAATAAATTTATACTTTTGTGCCACATAATACTTTGTTCACTTATAAAACAGTAAAAGGTAGTACATTATATTATAAAAATAGTTTGAGGCCTGATTCAAATCCGAGCCGCAATTTGAGGCCACATTCAAAAATTTGGATTTCGCTTATAATTACTAAATATGACCTAATGATTAATTAAGTGATTTAAAAAAGTAAACTTAAAAACAAAATTGCAGAGAAAACTTAAAAACTAACTTAGAAAATAGGATGTGACTATTTAAAAATAAACTAAACAATATTAATACTACGTTTTACTTAAGTTTGGGACTCCAAAATAATGAAAAAAATTAAAAAATAATTTTCAAAAATCAATCATGTACCTAGGAAAGAAAGAAACAATTAAATTAATAAAAATGAAATAAAAATGTACGAATGCTGAAAAAAAAAATGGAATAAACAGACATTAGGGTAAGGAGAAGACGGTTGTTTTTTTTTTATTGTGGAAGGAAATATAAGAAAACGGACATTTAAGAAATTAGGATTAATAATTTAATCGTATCTAAAACATTTTCATGTCAAATGTTGCCAAGACGAGACCATATGGCTCGCACTGTCAAAAAGTTATCAGAACGTAAATTCTCGTAATAAAAGTTCGATCACAATTCAGTTCCGATCAACTCTTGATCTCACAACTATCATAAATAATAAAAGTAATAATATATTAAATTAGGATTAATAATATTTATATGTATAAAGAATGAAATAAAGATAATAATAATAATAACTTTACACATCTCACACACGGCCGTCTAATTCCAAACTAGGCAGACCCTGTACTATGGTAACCAGACTGCTGATAAACATACTTATATATTTCTAAATACATACATATCATAGATAAATTGCACCCAGACACAGAATAAATCATCGTGCTCATCGCACAATGATTTATCCTGAGTGGGAATCGAACCCACGACCTTCGGCAACAGGCCCGTCAAATGGTATTTTCGTAGTAAAATAGTAAAGTATTACTAAGACTAGCAGATTACGGATTCAATTTTCGGTTACAATACGATATAATCACATTACAGTCAACGTTGGATGTTTAATACTTTACTACGAAAATACCTTTTTGATAGTTGTGAGATCGAGAGTTGATCGGAACTGAATTGCGATCGAACTTTTATTACGAGAATTGACCTTCAGATCTTATGTAGCGCCAAGCTTCTAACTCTACACGCCCTAACTTCAGAAATTCTACACCTTAATAAGATATGTAGCATGACCGTTTTGTTAATACAAGAACTTTTGTATAACAGACAAGAAAATCCTTCTTACCGACTTCAAACAATACTAACAGAGAGCACTAAAAACCTAGCAGCAATCGCGGTTGATTTGCTGTTATTTTTTTAAGAGTTCCGTTCTCTGTCTCCGAAACTCATCATCATATCTATATGAAATTTAAATGGGACCATTTCGGAATAAATCCTTTCAGAACAAAAAAAGAATTTTGAAAATCCGTTTGTATATGGAGGAGTTATGTCTGAACATACATTAAAAAAAATATAAACTTCCGAATCGACAACCTCCTTGTTTAAGAAGTCGGTTAAAAAGTCATGAAGAGGTAAGAAATTCTCCACCTTGCGTTCATGTGATGAAGCTAAGACACAAAATCTTTCGACCGTCTTGGCGATAGAAAATAGCATTATACAGATTTGATTTTACATAATAGGGAATATGCACGTGACACCAAAATGGACAAAACATTTTTATTTGTAATTTTTATTGCTAAAAAAATATACCGATACAATTATTTTTAAAATTTATTATAATTTAATAGTGAAATTTAATCATCAAAAATTAGCTTTTTAAGATTCCCTCGCAAATTTCTAAAACGCAACGCTATTGGCGTGACGTCAACCTACACTGTCAAGAGTGTCAACAAGTTGTGTGTATTTGTAATATTTGGTTTCTGGTGATTATTTGTTTCATTTTAAGTTAATAACTAATACGTTTTCAGTGTTAAATTATTAAATTCCCGTGTAGAAAGACTCAACACAAGGACTGAATATACTTTGTCAGACCGTGCAGTTTTGATATTATTTGTTCACAAAGGAACGGCACAATATTTATAATATGTTTTTATTGGCTTTCCATGGTAATAAGTTAATTTTGATTACTCACTTTTTTAACTTTCACAAACTTTGTGAACTTCACTCCGTTGCTGACATCGAATTCGTCTGAAAGTGTAATCGGACGTCACAAAAAAGCGCGCCAAAATGGACGTGTTCAAATTGCCCCAAAATGATAGTGATTTTAATAATTTTTTTTTGCTTAACGGCTTATATTTCGGATGTGTTATATTTATTTTTGGTAATGTAATAACTAGTAGAATCGTTAAAAAAAATAAAAAAATACATGCATATTCCCTATTGGTTAATTGGCTCATTTTGACTACTGATATGGAACCCGGTGATAACTTCAAAGAATAATACCTAAACAAGACATCCCATAGGTGAAAAGAGAAACATTATATTAATTGAGAATTGAGCCTATATGATACACGAAAGAGATAGATGAATTATGCCATGGGAAAGACAGGAGACTGCAGATATTTTGGATAAGAAAGTATACCGTGGAAAGGAGACCCAAAAATAAAGATATCAGGAGCAGAAAACAGGAGATTGGAGATAAAAAGCGATGCAGTAAAAATCAAAATGTCAAAAAAAATTTAAAAAATCAATTTTTATATAGTGTTGTAAAATTAGATTTAAGCTGCATGCTGGCAATATTAATATTTCTAATGCCATTTTCTCATAGAAATACACATAAACCATGTGTACCTAATAGAAAAAAATAATTTGTCATCAATGGCGTCTGAAGGATTTGTATTATATAAACTCTCAAACACTCTTTATTTCATAAAATTTTCAAAACTGTTTGAAATCGTCTTTTATGTAGACTCTAAAGTCATAGATCAACACACACAAAAGCAACAATCTCTGTTTTGTCAAATAGTAAGCAAATAAATTTAACAAAAATCAAACCCATACAAAATCAATGATATGCCTGTGCCGATCTACAACCGCCCGTTTCCAAGGGGGTTGAGCCTTATGAGAAGAAAGGGCAAACAAACTCATGGCCACTCTTTTGCAACTCACAGATAAAAGTATATAAATACTAGCTGACCCGGCAAACTTGTTTTGCCATATACATTATTTCTAGGAAATTTTGGAAAAAAAATTTAGGGGTGGGTCACCCTTGTCATGTAGGGGTATGAAAAATAGATGTTGGCCCATTCTCAGACCTACCCGATGTGCACACAAAATTTCATAGAAATCGGTCCGGCCGTTTCGGAGTAGTGTGTTAACTAATATTGTGACACGAGAATTTTATAACTATACAAATAAATAAAATTGGAGTGTCTGTTTGTAATATTAAAATAACCGCTTTTTACTAAATGCATATGTGTTTTCTCACGGTACATATGCCAAAATATCATTTTTTACAATTTTTATCTGTCTGTCTGTTTGTTCCGGGTAATCTCTGGAACGGCTGGACCGATTTCGACGGGACTTTCACTGGCAGATAGCTGATGACATAAGGAGTAACTAGGCTACTTTTTTTAGACTAGCTTCGCCCCGCGGCGTTGCCCGCGGTTATAACAACAAACGCGGGTAACACCGCGGGTCTCAGCTAGTATAAGATAAAGTTCTGATCTCACCTGCTCTGTACACTGGGCGTGTTGCGGTGTGAGTCGGGCGAGTGAGCGTAAGCAGGCGAAGAGGACATGTAAGATGGAAGGGTGGTCACCAGAACTGGCTTCACGTAACCATTCTTCAGCATCTCGTTCTCTGGAGGACGATCAATTGTTAACCATGGACGAAAATTTATTTATCTTATTAATAAGTTACAATGAGAGTAGATGGGTGGTGAAGAATTAATAATACGGAGTGTCACCACCCCTGTTCATCCCGTGGGTGTCGTTAGAGCCGACTGAGGGAGCAAACTACGCAGGACAACAGCACTGCAAAGAGAAGGAAAACTTGACACAAACCCTATACCCATCTGGCCAGCGTGGTATAGTAGGCTAAAAACTCCTTTTCGAGGAGAGGCCCATGTCCAATAGTAGACTATTAAAGGCTGTTGATGTGCGATGGGATGTGAATGAGAGTCATTCGATCCAAAACTAGACAGAGCCTGTACTATGGTAACCAGACTGCTAGAGAATGTACCGGAAGGTGGTGCCCGCGGCGTTGCGGAGGGGTCCAGATGTCTTAACAACAGCTGTTCCCGGATCCCTCCTGTTACAGGCGCAGAGTGGCACACCGTGTGGTTTTAGTCGGTCCGAGTCCGACACACCACCCCGCCGCAAACCCCGGAGGGGTGACGGTCCGAAGGGGTTTCCACACGTAAAAAAAAAAATGGTTACCAGACTGCTAATAAACATACGTAAATGTTTCTAAATACATACAAATTTTAGATAAATTACACCCAGACAACAAATTATCGTGGTCATCACACAATTACTTGTTCTTAGTGGGAATTGGCTTAACAGTCAGGATCACAAAAAAAAAAATAGGCATATCTTTGTTTTAATCTCAATTAGTTAAGTAATCATAAAAGTATTACGGTTTGAATTAATAGAACTACAAATTCTTAGTTGGTTAAGGGTTGTTTGCCATTGTAGCTGTACAAAATGTAGTGCTATTATCATCAACAGCCTCCAACAGTCCACTGCTGGACACAGGGGTTATCATCATCATCATCAACGGCCTTTAATAGTCCACTGCTGGACATAAGCCTCTCCTTAGAAAGGAGGTTTTGGCGTACTATACCACGCTGGCCACACGGGTTGGTATAGGGTTTGTTTCAAGCTTCTGGCCCTAGCCCTCAACCACATGGCAGACCGCCTCGGGGAGGTGTTCGACGCTAGCTTGGCGTCGGGACGATTCCCTGAGTGCAGGAAGAGCGGGAAGCTGGTCCTATTAAGGAAGCCGGGACGGCCTGCCGATTCGGTCGCGGCCTACAGGCCCATCGTGCTGCTGGACGAGGCGGGTAAATTGTTTGAGAGGGTTCTCTCTGCCCGCATGGTCCGGCACCTCTACGAGGTGGGCCCCGATCTGTCGGACGCCCAATTTGGTTTTCGGGCGGGGCGTTCGACAGTCGACGCTGTGTTGCGCCTGAGGGCCGTGACCGAAGAGGCCGTGAGCTGTGGCGGCGTGCTGTTGGCGGTGTCATTGGACATCGCCAACGCATTCAATAGTCTGCCATTCAGCTGCATCAGGGAAGCACTCCACTATCATGGGGTGCCAAAGTACCTGAGGCGGCTAGTGGCAGACTATTTAGAGCAGCGTACCGTCGTGTACGAGGACCGAGAGGGTAATTTGAGGTGTCGGCCCATGTCGTGCGGTGTTCCACAGGGGTCTGTTCTTGGACCCCTCTTGTGGAACATTGGGTACGACTGGGCCCTTCGCGCCGATTTCCCCCCCGGGCTGGGTGTAATCTGTTACGCAGACGATACCCTGGTGACAGCCCGGGGGGCAAACTTCCAAGAGGCGGCGCGCCTGGCCACAGGGGGAGTCTCCCTGGTGGTCGGACGCATTGAGGCGCTGGGCTTACGGGTGGCCCTAGATAAGACGGAGGCCCTGTTATTTCATGGGCCCCGTCGTGGTCCACCCCCTGGCGCCTCAATCGTGGTCAACTCGGTCCTCGTACCGGTTCGGGCCCAGATGAAATATCTGGGCCTGATCCTCGACGGGAGGTGGCTCTTCGACGAGCACTTCCGACAGCTTGCTCCAAAGCTGGTCGGCGCTGCGTCTGCCCTAGGGCGACTTTTGCCCAATATGGGTGGACCCAGCGTCGCGACAAGACGGCTGTACACGGGGGTTGTCCGGTCAATGGCACTGTACGGTGCACCGGTGTGGGCGGCGGCTCTGACCGTCCAGAATAGGGTACGCCTCTGGCGCCCTCAGAGGGTAATGGCGGTCAGAGTCATACGCGGTTACCGCATCGTTTTGACGGAGGTGGCATGCGCGTTGGCCGGAACTCCCCCGTGGGATTTGGAGGCGGAAGTGCTCGCCGAAGTTTATCGGCGAGTGGCTGACTCCCGGGCGGAGAGCGGATTTCGCCCTCCGCCCGAGGATGTGCGCGAGTGGCGCGAAGCCGCTCGCCGAGCCACGATGGCTCGTTGGTCGCTCCGGCTGGAGACTCCACGCGCTGGCTTCGCCGCCGTGGAGGCTCTCCAGCCGGTCATCGCCGAGTGGGCAGGGGCGGCAGCACGGGACCCTTTCCTTCCGGCTGACGCAGGTGCTTTCCGGGCACGGTTGCTTCGGAAAGTACCTGCACTCGGTCGCTAGGAGGGAACTGAGTCCCGCCTGCCACCACTGCGACTGCAGTGAGGACTCGGCCCAGCACACGCTGGCGGTCTGCCCCGCATGGGCGGCGCAGCGCCGGGCCCTCACTGCAGTCATCGGAGTGGATCTCTCGCTACCGGCCGTAGTACGCTCCATGGCCGGTAGCGACAGTTGTTACCGCGGTCGCAACCTTCTGCGAGGAAGTAATCTCGCGGAAGGAGGCGGCGGAGAGGGCCCGGGAGGACGACCTCCACTCGGACCCGATCCGCCGCCGGCGAACCGGGCGGCGGAGGCCCGGCTATCATAGCCTCATGCCGCCCTGAGTGTGGCCGCGGGTGGACGGGGTGGGTTTCCCCTCCACCCGCATTAGTTTGGCCAGCCGCGAGGGGGTGGCGTCCGCGTGTGCTGGACGTCGCCTAAAGAGAGGAAAATATTGAGACGGAGCCCGCACCAGGAGCGGGCTGGCGCTAGGAGGGGTCCGGATGTCTTAACAACAGCTGTTCCCGGATCCCTCCTGTTACAGGCGCAGAGTGGCACACAGTGTGGTTTTAGTCGGTCCGAGTCCGACACACCACCCCGCCACAAACCCCGGAGGGGTGACGGTCCGAGGGGATTTCCACACGTTAAAAAAATAAAAAAAGGGTTTGTTTCAAGCTTTCCTTCTCTTTGCAGTGCTGTTGTCCTGCGTAGTTTGCTTCCTTAATCGGCTCCGACGACACCCAAGGGATGAATAGACAGTGTGGTAGTGACACTCTGTATTCTTAATACATCACCACACGGTCAATTTTTTTTCTTTTCCCTAAACCAGTCACAAATACTTCTATTACTTTATTAATAAGGGTACTCACCAGGTTTAGTATAGTACTTGGAGAAAACATCATCCTTGGCAATATTTGGATATAAGAACTGGAGTTGGGTCAAGTCCAGCACTCTGTCGGCAAGGGAGCGCAGCATCAAGTCACGGGAGGTGAATGGCTGGAGACTGAACACCTCATTACCGTCTGTGAGTGAAAAAAAACAAAGGAGGCATATTAAATTTATTGCGGATTTCTGCTTGAATTGGAGCTACCCGTATTGTATTTTACACGCTTTATATTAGCTTCACTTGTATGTTTGTTTGTATGTTTGTAACCGACTCCTTTAGGCGTGATTTTGACTGACTTTAAACGGTCAGAATTCGTTCAAACTTTGTAGATATATCGAGGACCGATGACAAAAAAAAATAGTTTTAAAAAACACGCTTTTTATAGAAAACCAAACTAAAAAATGGAAAATAAATTAGAAAAAAAAGAGTGGGGTGCTTTTCACTACAACAGGCAAACATATTACATACTGGCACACATCAAAACAATGCTGTGGTATATTTAATAATGCCATTGTATCTATCTGTGAGTTGCAAAAGAGTGGCCATGAGTTTGTTTGCCCTTTCTTCTCATAAGGCTCAACCCCTTGGAAACGGGCGGTTGTAGATCGGCACAGGCATATCATTGATTTTGTATGGGTTTAATTTTTGTTAAATTTATTTGTTTACTATTTGACAAAACAGATATTGTTGCTTTTGTGTGTGTTGATCTATGACTTTAGAGTCTACATAAAAGACGATTTCAAGCAATATTAAACATTTTATGAAATAAAGAGAATTTGAGTTTGATATCAAGGACTTCACTGCGGCCACAATATAATAAATTATAATATGTTTGCTTCTCCACTATTCATAAGAAAAAATAGAAAAAAATTCGAGGTTCGCAGGACCATCAACACACCACACATATCCATAAACACACACAAACATACAATATTTCTTAGCTCGTATATTGCTTTATAATTTAATTTTATTTTTCTTTTATTCTTTGTTTACTGTTAATTTCTTCACACGTCACACACACGGCTGTCTGATCCCAAACTAGGCAGAGCCTGTACTATGGTGGCTTAGCAGTCAGGGTCATTTACCACTAAACGACCGGTGAAAAGCTATGCCATTTGTCATCATCATCATCAACAGGCTTTAACAGTCCACTGCTGGACACAAGCCTCTCCTTAGAAAGGAGGTTTTGGCCTACTATACCACGCTGGCCAGACGGGTTGGTATAGGGTTTGTGTCAAGTTTTCCTTCTCCCTGCAGTGCTGTTGTTCTGCGTAGCTTTCTCTCTTAGTCGACTCTTACGACACCCACGGGACGAATAGGGGTGGTGACACCCTGTATTCTTAATCCGTCACCACACGGACATTTGTGTCATGTGTAAATAAGTAGCAAGAACTAACCGCCAACCCAAGCAATTGTGATGCCTCCAAGTTCTGAATCTGAGAATCTGAGAAGGAAAGTGCCGGGAGGACACTTGGAGAGCATCTCTTCAGCCTGCTTCTTCTGGATGAAGCCCATGATCAAACTGCAACAAAAAAAAAAACGTTTTTATAAAGATAAGTACAAGGTATTAATTTTATTATAAGTGTAGTGTAACCAGAAGAATCATGGTTTAGGATATATACCTAAATGTCATTCTCACAGGAATGGAACAAAAAAATATATATTTTAACTACATTTAAACAACGCCATCTAGTCCCAAACTAAGCAGATCTTGTACTATGGGTACTAGACAATTGATATAAATACGTATATTTTTTTTTGTAAATACATACATATTATACATATAAACACCCAGACCAAATCACACATTAAAAGTTCATGCACACAAATGTTTGACTTGAGCGGGAATCGAACCCGCGACCTTTGGAATAGCAGTCCGTTACACAAACGTCCGTTGTACGTACGTACAAAATATATGTTTATATTATATATAGTTATATTATCAATGTATTTTAACCCAAACTCAACTCTAGTGTGAAGGGGGCCAATATATGTAGATACTTATGTACAGAGGTGTCGGTAACGGTAACAGTGTTGCGAGTTGAATAGTTTTTTCCCATCTCAAAAAATACATTCTTCTGTTTGTTGTTCCAAAATGCCCAACGCGCCTAGAAAACTTTTCACTTCAAAAAAATTGTCGAAACCAAACCACCAATAATTGTATTATTAGAAAAGAATATATATATATACTTACTGATCACACCACAAAGTCCTCAGATAATCTCTGGTCACTTTAACGACCATGTAGAACCACTCCCAAAACGTGAAGTTCCTCTCAGGGAGTGCATCCTTGCAGAACTGGGTCCAGCTGACCGCCATGGCGTTTAAATCCATCGTGTTCATGGGTAAAGAGGTCCTGGAAGCCGTGATACTGGTAATAGTTAGTAAGAGTGTAAATCTTTATAGCGCGAGTTAGACATATGTACAGTCAGCCGCATAAGTTTTTTTTTTAATATACAACTCCCACATTAGTAATATATCCTGTGTCGCGGCGGACTTTACAAACATACATGAAACAGACACAAAAAACACCCAGACTCAGAACAACAATTTGTTTATCACACAAAGTGTCGTCCCATGTGGGGATCGGACCCACAACACTCAGCGTAATAGTAAGCGGCGAGGTGACCGCTTAAACCAAAATTTGTAGGTCAGTTTGGCATTAAATTCTAGTAAAGTGCAGTATAACCAGATGAATTATAGCTTAGGATTTATAAATGTTATTCTCGTAGGAATAGAAATAAAAATAAATTCAAAGTATGTATGTGTTCAGATATTTTTTTGCTGACTATACTTTCAACCTGCAGGACTTAATTTAAGACAATCTTTGTTAGTCTAGTCTCATCAACAGTCTATAACAGTCCACTGCTGGACATAGGCGCCTCCTTAGAAAGGAGGTTTTGGCCTACTATACCACGCTGGCCAGACAGGTTGGTATAGGGTTTGTTGTCCTACGAATATTCCTCCCTTAGTCAACTCTTACGACACCCACGGGATGAATAGGGGTGGTGACACTCCGTATTCTTAATCCGTCACCACACGGACTAGTCTAGTTAATCTATTTTGAATTGTTAGAAGACGAATTGACATCCAGAATACTATATAAATATTTTAAATTTCATATCTACACTTTTAAATTAATTACCGCAACAAAGTACTAAATTCAACTATTTAACACCAGAATTCTAAATAAAATTGATTCAGCAGTATAGACTGTAACTCTGTTTGTTTGTCATCGATCAAATCGTGACAAACAAACAGACAGAGTTACTTTTGCATTAATAATATTTCTAGCGAAAAAAAAAACTTGTGTTAACTCATGTCATAAACTATATGTGAGTCAAATTTCGTTCAAATCAGATCAGCATTTTATAAGTTAAAGGACAACAGACATACACACATTCTCAAAAACTTTCGCATTTATCAAAGTAAGAGATTAGTATAGATTGATACCTAAATATCTTCTCGGCTAAAAATCTTAGATTATCTTCGGAGAGGTCCCCTCCAGTGGCTGAACCGAATTTGATGCGCAGAGTCTCCGCCAACTGACCCCAAGTCACCTGTAAAAGGTAAAGATAAATTTATTTGTTGGAACATAAACTAAGGTTTTTTCTTTTTTTTTTGTTAGAGTGGGCAGACGATTCTCCTGATGGAAAGTGACCATCGCCGCCCATGAGCCAAGCCTGCAGCTCAGGAGTCACAAACGCGTTGTCGGCCTTTTAGGAGGGAGTACGCTCTTGAAGGTTGGTAATACCGCAGACGATAACGTAACGTAACGTAACGATAAAGATGTTATATTATGTTAAATTGTTTTATACATTCTACTATTTCTGGTGTACAAATATTTTCATTTAGGTGCTTTAATGGATATAATTGAAATACGAAAAGAAATGTGAATAAACGAATAAAATAAATAAATTAACATTATGAGAAGAATTATATTACAATCATTTAATTAACATACATAAATAATAGTAGAATTAATTAACATAAAAAAATACATTAAAATTTGAACAGTAAGAGTAATTAAATAGAACAAAGTCAAAAAACAAATCTAAATTCAAACATTTTTAGTCACATGTTAGTAAAGTCCCTCGCGACACAGGATATATTCCTAATGCGGAACTTGTCTATAAAAAAAGACCAGATACATAAAAGACTTACCTTGTCCGGCACAGCGAAGGGAACCCTGCCCGGTGGGCTGAAGGCGTTGTCCCATGTGACTGTTGCCCAGCCGTGGGGCTCCTGGTTACCGTGGACAATCACCACCACGGGCAATGAGAGTGTCCACACCTATGGACAAAATTGAGGTTAAAATATAATTTTAATAATAATAATAATTTATGTTTATTTCTTCTCTCACACAGATAATGTAACATCAATAAACTATCCGTGTGGTGACGTATTAAGAATACAGAGTGACTAAGGGAACAAACTACGCAGGACAACAGCACTGCAGAGAGAAGGAAAACTTGACACAAACCCTATACCAACCCGTCTGGCCAGCGTGGTATAGTAGGCTAAACCCTCCTTTCTAAGGAGAGGCCTATGTCCAGCAGTGGACTAGTAATGGCTGTTGATGATGATGATTATGATATTTGAGATGCACTGTATTACGTATATTCATACAGAATGTTTACTCTTGCTGTGTATGTACCTTCAATTAATTGTAATTGGCGTATTGTTCGACTATTATTATGTAAACTATATACTGTCAGCTGTGAAGAACCTAAGTATTAAATAAATAAATATGAGGACAGATAGAAATAAATTAAACAATACATATGGCAACCCTGTGCTAAAAAACATGCTGTTTCGAATGTGTCATGTCACATACAATGCGGCAACACTGGCTACGTGGCATTCACAGCCACTTGCTTAACACCGGTTTTCTGTGAGACCGTGGTATCACTCCGGTCGAGGAGGCCCATTTGACTGCACAGATGGCGTAGTGGTTTAAGCGGTCGCCACGCCGCTTCCTATTACGTCGAGTGTTGTGGGTTCAAACCCCACATGGGACAACACTTTGTGTGATCCACAAATTGTTGTTCTGAGTCTGGGTGTACTTTGTGTCCGTTTCATGTATGTTTGTAAAGTCCCCCGCGACACAGGATTTATTTATTCCTAGTGCGGGAGTTGTCTTTTAAAAAAAAAAAAAAAAAAAAATTATGCCGAAGCATGGCTCTCCCAGGGTGTATGTGAAGGTTACTAGTACTAGTTGGAATCTCAGCGCACTCCTTACCTGAAAGACCAACTCTCCACCTCCAACGTTGAACTGCGATTGGAACAGCAATGTCAGTTTCTCGTCCATCACGCTCTCGGTACCTTTTTTCTCCGCGCGTTTTATTTTACGCAACTGCATATTTCTGTAAACAATTCATGACATAATTTAGAAAATGGGAGTTTTTAGAGAATTTAGATAGTGGGAGTACCACGCTCAGGAAAATGGGTCAGCTCTACCGGTGACTGACTGCCACGGTGGCGCAGTGGTAACGTATGCGACTACTGTGCTGAGGTCTCGGGTTCCATTCCCATGCAAATATTTGTTTCGGAGTTTGGGCGTTTTATGAGTGTAAAAAAAGTATATAAGTATTTTATCAATGAATCTAGCTTTAGGTTAAGGTAAGGTTATACCCCTCCCCCAATTCTAGTCTAAGTGTGATGTTGTACCCCCCCTCTTTACCTGAAGCTGACGCTGAGCTGCCTACTGGTAGGCTGATACTCCATAGTGCCGGTGTTGTTGAGGATATCGCCGCACTCCACCGGCTGCTTGCCCTTACCGGCCTGGGTCTCGCTCTTTAGCAACAGCTGGGCTTGTTGCTCTGATATTATAACCACCTGGAACAAGTAAACATATTTCGTGCGATTCAGCTAGTAATTATAATATAATGAATCCAAACTAGACACAGCCTGGACTATGATAACTAGACAGAGATTGTACTATGGTGCCTGGGTAACTAGACAGAACCTGTACTATGGTAGCTACATAGAGCCTATACTATGATAACTAGACAGAGATTGTACTATGGTGCCTGGGTAACTAGACAGAACCTGTACTATGGTAGCTACATAGAGCCTATACTATGATAACTAGACAGAGATTGTACTATGGTGCCTGGGTAACTAGACAGAACCTGTACTATGGTAGCTACATAGAGCCTATACTATGATAACTAGACAGAGATTGTACGATGGTGCCTGGGTAACTAGACAGAACCTGTACTATGGTAGCTACATAGAGCCTATACTATGATAACTAGACAGAGATTGTACTATGGTGCCTGGGTAACTAGACAGAACCTGTACTATGGTAGCTAGCTAGAGCCTATACTATGATAACTAGACAGAGATTGTACTATGGTGCCTGGGTAACTAGACAGAACCTGTACTATGGTAGCTACATAGAGCCTATACTATGATAGCTAGACAGATTGTACTATGGTGCCTGGGTAACTAGACAGAACCTGTACTATGGTAGCTAGATAGAGCCTATACTATGATAACTAGACAGAGATTGTACGATGGTGTCTGGGTAACTAGACAGAACCTGTACTATGGTAGCTAGATAGAGCCTATACTATGATAACTAGACAGAGATTGTACTATGGTGCCTGGGTAACTAGACAGAACCTGTACTATGGTAGCTACATAGAGCCTATACTATGATAACTAGACAGAGATTGTACGATGGTGCCTGGGTAACTAGACAGAACCTGTACTATGGTAGCTACATAGAGCCTATACTATGATAACTAGACAGAGATTGTACTATGGTGCCTGGGTAACTAGACAGAACCTGTACTATGGTAGCTAGCTAGAGCCTATACTATGATAACTAGACAGAGATTGTACTATGGTGCCTGGGTAACTAGACAGAACCTGTACTATGGTAGCTACATAGAGCCTATACTATGATAACTAGACAGAGATTGTACGATGGTGTCTGGGTAACTAGACAGAACCTGTACTATGGTAGCTAGATAGAGCCTATACTATGATAACTAGACAGAGATTGTACGATGGTGTCTGGGTAACTAGACAGAACCTGTACTATGGTAGCTACATAGAGCCTATACTATGATAACTAGACAGATTGTACGATGGTGCCTGGGTAACTAGACAGAACCTGTACTATGGTAGCTACATAGAGCCTATACTATGATAACTAGACAGATTGTACGATGGTGCCTGGGTAACTAGACAGAACCTGTACTATGGTAGCTAGATAGAGCCTATACTACGATAACTAGACAGAGATTGTACTATGGTGCCTGGGTAACTAGACAGAACCTGTACTATGGTAGCTACATAGAGCCTATACTATGATAACTAGACAGAGATTGTACGATGGTGTCTGGGTAACTAGACAGAACCTGTACTATGGTAGCTAGATAGAGCCTATACTATGATAACTAGACAGAGATTGTACGATGGTGTCTGGGTAACTAGACAGAACCTGTACTATGGTAGCTACATAGAGCCTATACTATGATAACTAGACAGATTGTACGATGGTGCCTGGGTAACTAGACAGAACCTGTACTATGGTAGCTACATAGAGCCTATACTATGATAACTAGACAGAGATTGTACGATGGTGCCTGGGTAACTAGACAGAACCTGTACTATGGTAGCTACATAGAGCCTATACTATGATAACTAGACAGAGATTGTACGATGGTGCCTGGGTAACTAGACAGAACCTGTACTATAGTACGGTGGTACATTTTATTAACTGTATCACTTACGCTAACTCTGGGCGGCGTCATGTGTACGTTCAGCTGACCCCCGACGAGTAACCGGACAGTAGCCGTGAAGCTGCAACAAGATCACACATTAATCACTATATACACTCACGCCAGTACTCATGTGACAGGGTAGGCAGAGGCTTATCAAGGGTGATGGTTCTTACCGTGTGTTCGTCTTCATAACTTGCGGTGGTTGTTTCTCGATCACAAAGGTCGAAGTCACAAGGGTTGACAGCAGACCTGTCACCTGGAAGATTACATATTGAAGTTACATCAACAGCCTTTAATAGTCCACAACTGGGCATAGGGCTCTCCTTAGAAAGGAGATTTTGGCCTAATATACCACGCTGGCCAGACGGGTTGGTATAAGGTTTGTTTCAAGTTTTCCTTCTCTTTGCAGGGCTGTTGTCCTGTGGAGTTTGCTCCCTTAGTCGGCTCTTACGACACCCACGGGATGAATAGGGGTGGTGACACTCAGTATTCTTAATCCGTCACTTGTATAGAAAATATAGATTGTAGTGTCTGTTTGTAATGTCAAATTATAGGTTTTTTCATGCTCACACAGTTATTTGCACGATACCTATGTCTAAAAATCAATTTATATATTTTTGTCTGTCTGTTTGTTCCAGGTAATCTTCAAAATGGATAGACCAATTTTGATAATATTTTACTATCAGTTAGCTGTCTATACAAGGAGTCATCAATATCATCATCAATCATCAACAGCCTATACTAGTCCACTGCTGGACATAGGCCTCTCCTTAGAAAGGAGGTTTTGGCCTCCTATACATACACCCACGCTGGCCAGACGGGTTGGTATAGGGTTTGTTTCAAGTTTTCCTTCTCTTTGCAGTGCTGTTGTCCAGTGTAGTTTGCTCCCTTAGTCGACTCTTACAACACCCACGGGATGAATTCGGGTGGTGACAATTTGTATTCTTAATCCGTCACCACACGGACAGGATACAAGGAGTAACAAACTATTTTTTATCTCAGAGAAACCCTATAAAATTGAGCCCGGTCCGGGAATCGAACCCACTAAGGGAGCGCTTTTCAAATTTTTGAAACGAAGTTGCGGGTATCAGCTGGTCATAAAGATGAAAGAGTGGTGAACTTTATTGGAGACAAATATAACACATCACACGCGGCCGTCTGATCCCAAACTATTCAGAGCCTGTACTATGGTAACCAGACTGCTCATAAACATACTTATATATTTCTAAATACATACATATCGTCATAGTCGTACAATAGTGTCGGATCTGACATTTATTGAACTTTACAGAGCAGCCATTTTAAAATTTCAAAAGCCATTCAAAATTTGTTAGTTCTTTTGACATAACTTTTTTAATTCTAAATCTGTAATCAAGAAAATTGGCGTACAAATGATAAATAGGGTTTGTTTTAAAATGACTGAATCTTCATTTACTTTGAGTGCCTATCAATCCGACAGTGTACCGACTGAATAATTTATACAAATAAATAAAATTGGAGTGTCTGTTTATAATATTAAAATAACCGCTTTTTACTAACTGCATATGTATGTTAACACGGTACATATGCCAAAATATCATTTTTTACAATTTTTGTCTGTCTGTCTGTCTGTCTCTTTGTTCCGGGTAATCTCTGGAACGGCTGGACCGATTTCGACGGGACTTTCACTGGCAGATAGCTGATGACATAAGGAGTAACTTAGGCTACTTTTTTAGACTAGCTTCGCCCCGCGGCGTTGCCCGCGGTTATAACAACAAACGCGGGTAACACCGCGGGTCTCAGCTAGTTTAAAATACATTTTTTTTCTTGAATATAATCATCATCATCTGCCTACCCTTTTCCCAATTTTATTTGGGGTCGGCGCAGTATGTATGATTTTTCCATTCTACTCTGTCATGCATCATCTCACTGTTTACTCCCTTCCTAGCCATATCCTCCCTCACGCAGTCCATCCACCTTTTCTTCGGTCTGCCTCTTCTCTTGTACCCTTCAACTTCCATACCTAAAACTTTCTTCGCCACATTTTCCTCATCCCTCCGCATTTTCCTCATCCCTCTTGAATATAATATGTAATAATATTTAGACAACGTAGTATCCAAATTTAGTTAAAACTACGATCATGACGATATTATAGACAAATTACGCCCAGACACAGAACAAATGATCCAGCACATCTCAAAATTATTTGTCCCGGGTGAGGATCTGAACCCACAACCTCCTGTTTAACAGTCAGGTTCACAAAAGAAGAAACATCAACTCACAGTTTTGCTCATTTCATCCAGCATCTCGGCGAGATGAGGCTGCCTGAGTTCCACGACAGTTTTGGTATTGATCCTGGCCACGTTGTTCACTTGTTGGCGAGTTGTCCAGATCAGGTCAGCGAGGAGTTCGCACCATTCTTGGATGGTGTTCAAGTTCGACTGCATCGGGACACCATTGCCGCTTAATTGCTGTTCACGTTTCCACCTTCGAAACAAAAATAGTGGTGATCTCAGGAACTGCTGATTCGATTTTGAAAACTGCTTTTAGCACAGTCTACATATCATCAAGAGAAAAAAAAAACATTTTTATTTTGATAATATCTAATATATATAATTCTCGTGTCACGGTGTGCGTGGTTGAACTCCTCCGAAACGGCTCGACCGATTTACGTGAAATTTTGTGTGCATATCGGGTAGGTCTGTTATCAGCCAACATCTACTTTTCATAACCCATTTTTTTTTTAATAATGTTTATGGCAAAACAACGTTTGCCGGGTCAGCTAGTATATTTGATAAAAATGTTGATAAATAAACGTTTTAAAGTGGTCATTTTGATACTGAGGACGTTTTGTTATGCGACTAAAGGGCTGTTTAGGCTCCAGAGCATACCAAAGAAATATAAACACACTTGAAAAACATATGGTAACTCTCCGTCTAGCACAGGCGCGTTAAAATCTATAATAATAATATTGTACCACATTCACACAACGCCATCTAGCCCCAAACTAAGCAGAGCTTGTACTATGGGTACTAGACAACTGATATAAATACATTATATACTTTTTTTTTTGTAAATACATACTTTTTATACATAGAAACACCCAGACCAAATCAAACATTAAATGTTCATGCACACAAATGTTTGACTTGAGCGGGAATCGAACCCGCGACCTTTGGAATAGCAGTCCGTTACACAAACCACTACACCATCCGGTCGTATAATAATTAGTATGATGACATATGTACCATAGTCTTTATTATAGTCTGTCTGTCCATCCGTCTACTCATCATCATCGTCAAACCAAAACCAAATGCCATACCAAATTTCAAGTCTTTAGCTCTAATGGTTCCAGAGATATCGTGATGAGTGACTATATACGTGGAAATCTCTTATATATATACTTATGTATAAGTATCTGGACCTTGTCAAAGCTTTGCTGTGGCACATTGTGGTAGCATTAGATTGATAAAAGCAATCTCTGAAGCGGGTTGTATCATCAACAGCCTTTAATAGTCCACTGCTGGACATAGACCTCTCCTTAAGAAGAAGGTTTTGGCCTACTATACAACGCTGGTATATTTCTTTGCAGTGCTGTTGTCCTGCGTAGTTTGCTCCCTCAGTCGGCTCTTACGACACCCACGGGATGAATAGGGGTGGTGATACTACTATTAGTTACTTGATAAGGTGTGGTGTCACTTACTTGATAAGCTCTTCATCCAAAACCTGGCTCTGCAGCTGTCGAAGGTTGGCGATATTCTCCTTCATATGATCCACCAGCTCCAATTGGGACTGAGTTATTTGGGCAACCTAGAACAAAGACGAGTTTAATCTCTTTTCTCGGGCTCTCTTCTCATGTCATCTGGTGTTATCGATAAATGAATCTCCCCTTCCCCTTGGGGAGGACTCAAAAGGGCGTCAAGGCACCTGTGACTTTTGACATGCAAGAGTTCATGTGCGACTGTAGTCACTTACCATCAGTGCTCCCTTGCCCCATACACCCCCTTAAATAACATACCTTGGCGTTCAACTTCCTCTCCGTTTCTTCAATCTGTACACGGAGACACGCCGCCAAGTCTCGCCTGTCATTCGTCATTGACTGCTGTAGGTAGTTCATGTGGCCTGGAAAGAAAGTTTAAATTATAAACACTATCCCTCAATTGGAAAAGGGAGAGAGAAAGAGAAAGAGAAAGAGAGAGAGAGAGAGAGAGAGAGAGAGAGAGAGAGAGAGAGAGAGAGAGAGAGAGAGAGAGAGAGGGGGGGGGGGGGGGGGGGGGGAGATAGGGGAGAGAGAGTGAATGGGAGGGAGAGGAGAGAGAGAGAGTGAATGGGAAGGAGAGGAGATTTAATTTGCGGCCCTATCTCTTTCCTTACTCTAGACATCTTGTATACAAAGTACCATGATGTAGTTGAGTAGTTAAAGTATCATTAATCGTAAAAACATAATTATCTGATCAACCAGCTAACAGCTGACAATTATTAGTGGGTATAATAATGGTCTAACACTCGGCCTTCTGACCCCTAACAAGACAGAGCCTATGTAACATTGATAGCAATATTCAAGAGGAAGGTTATTATTAGGACCTTTAAACCTTCAAGAAAAGAGCGTACTGCTTCCTAAAAGGCCGGCAACGCGTTTGTGACTCCTGAGTTGCAGACGTTCATGGGCGGCGATAGTCACTTTCCATCAGCTGACCCGTCTGCTCATTTGCTCCCCCAAATGATAAAAAAAGGTTCTGAACTATATAAAATAACGCTAGGACTGTTAGGAACATAGCAGTGACCATAAAATGCTCTCACCTTTGTGTTTCAGGCATTCGTGGTATTCCAAGGAGAATGATTCAATGTTGGCTTGAAGACCTCTGATCTCTTCGCTAACCATACTGACCTTTTGGCGGACAGTTTGCAGTCCAGTGATGAGCTGAAAATTAGAAAATAATTAACTTTTAAAAAAGTAAAAAGATTCTGATCAGGATAATCGGCAAAACTTATTAAATTTAAAGTTATAAAAAAGGGTAAAAATTGAGTTTTAAGATTAATGATGTTAAAAACAGTAGGTAGAATTCCCTTCTGTAAGGATAAGAATTCTTTATTCTTACTTTTTAAAAAGACCACTCCCGTATTAGGAATATGTTCCTGTGTCGCGGGGGACTTTACAAACATACATAAAACGGACACAAAGAATACCCAGACTCAGAACAACAATTTGTGGATCAGACAAAGTGTCGTCCCATGTGGGGTTGGAACCCACAACACTCGGCGTAGTAGGAAGCGGCGTGGCGACCGCTTAAACCTCTACGCCAACCGTGAAGTCAAAGAATGCCCTACATTATCATCAATAGCCTCTAACAGTCCACTGCTGGACATAGGCCTCTCCTTAGAAGGGAGGTTTTGGTGTACTATACCACGCTGGCCAGACGGGTTGGTATAGGGTTTGTGTCAAGTTTTCCTTCTCTTTGCAGTGCTGTTGTCCTGCGTAATTTGCTCCCTTAGTCGGCTCTTACGACACCCACGGGATGAATAGGGGTGGTGACACTCCGTATTCTTAAACCGTCACCACATGGACATTTGCACTTACCTCACTGTATTTTCTTTCAGTCTGTGGCTGAGCGACAAACGGTGTCCCCATGGCGGTCTGGATAACTTCCATTTCCATTGCAAGAGCTCTTCGCATGTACTGGAACAGCTCATGCGGGGTATGGCTGAAGAAAAGAAGAACGTATAAAAATTGTGTGATGACGCAACCAGTCGCTTCACCCCGTGATAAAGGACCCCTGTCATAATTACGAACATAAATCAATATGTTATTTTGATAATTTCGTTATAAAATTCAGTATGACGTTGTTGCAGCACCCAGTAACATCATGTGTTCTATGGATTACTTATTAAAAAAACGGGTTTTAGTTTTTAAAAATAATATAATCGACTAGTTAAATCCCGTGGTTCCCCTTTTTTTTTGTTTTCCGTGCGGAAATCCCCTCGGATACCACCTGTCGGTGGCATGTCGGACTCGAACCGACTAAAACCGCACGCCGTCTCGGGTACTAATAGCCGGGGAACCATGTATACCCTAGAAAGGAAGTCCCTGGTGCCCCGACATACCTCGGGTCATCTACAGACGAGTAGACGACCCCCCCCCCCCCCGTGGTTCCCCCTGCATAAATGTCAGTTATCGCGGTAAAAAGTAGCCGATGTCTTTACTCAAGAATCAAAGTATCTCCATACCATTTCATCTAAATCAGTTCAGCGGTTATTGATTCCCCATACAAACCTTCACCCCCCCCCCTAAAAGCATAATTTCTGGGATAAAAACTACCCTATGTCCTGTCCCGGGACTCGGACTATCTCTATATCAAATTTCATCTAAATCGGTTTAGCGGTTTAAGCGTGAAGAGGTAACAGACAGACACACAAGACACACTTTCGCATTTATAATATTAGTATGGTGCATTCACCTGTACGTTATGTGAAAGTTCTTCGCGGCATCCAGCAGCTTCATCTTGGTGACGAACATGTCTGGTGATAGCATCAGGTCCGCGTGAGCTTGGATCTCCTGCACCAGCTCATCAACAAAGAAACGTTGTTGCTCCTCCGGCTCGCCGGTCCTGGTGAAGCATAAGCATAAAAGTTGGACGGGCCTGTTGGTTACGCGTGATGTGATTCCGATCCAGGATTAATAATAGTGTGAAGAGCACGGGTATTTATTCCGTGTCTGGGTGTAATTTATTTATAACTAGCAATCAGCCTCGGCTTTGCACGGGTGCAATGTAGCTACTACTAATACTACTAATGTACTGGGTGTAATCATCATCATCATCAGCCTATCGCAGTCCACTGCTTGACAAAGGACCCTCCCATTGAGAGATAAAAATCCAGTGCAATGGAAGATAAAACTGTACTACAGGACATCTTGATATACAGTATTAATACACCCGGGACGGACGTACGGCCCAATGCGGGTAAGGGCCGCTTTGCCCCCGCATTTTAAATCTCTGATATCTACTTAGATATTCATTTAAATGCACAACGTATCTAACCTATTTAATTGGATAAGGAATAATAATGTATTGTTTAAAATAGCTTCGTAAATTAGCCGTAATTTTTTGTTTTATGCATTAGATAAAAAAATAATACATACAGTGGAACATAGAACCTCCTCCTTTTTTGAAGTCGGTTAAAAATGGTTGCTATGGGTTATCATTAGAAGATAGACATATACCATCGGGGACTTTTTTCTAGACCATTTTAAGATATATAATTCCGTAGTATATTATTTTGATCTATCTCGTAAGAATACAGAGTGTCACCACCCCTATTCATCCCGTGGGTGTCGTAAGAGGCGACTAAGGGAGAAAACTACGCAGGACAACAACACTGCAGAGAGAAGGAAACCTTGAAGCAAACCCTATACCAACCCGTATGGGCAGCGTGGTATAGTAGGCCAAAACCTCCTTTCTAAGGGGAGGCCTATGTCCAGCAGTGGACTATTAAAGGCTGTTGATGATGATGATGATATCTCGTAAGGTTTAGCTATCGTTTACAATGTAAGCGCACAAAAACATATTTTTGACCAGAAATCTTTGAAATTCTCGTAATTTCTCTACTATAATATGCATGTATTTTACATATCTTCTTCTGTTGGTGAAAACCACATTAACATCCGTTTCAGTTTAATCAGATCTGAGCGTACAAGCAAAAAAATGCGCCTTCATTTTATACCTACTATGTAAAGATTTGTATGCATTTATTAATATACTAGCTGACCCGCGCAACTTCGTCTGCGTCTCTCAATAGTAATAAATTTTCTCCGTTTTTGAAACATTCTTCATTGGTGCTCCGCTCCTATTGGTCTTAGCGTGATGACATATAGCCTATAGCCTTCCTCGATAAATGGGCTATCTAACACTGAAAGATTTTTTCAAATCGGACCAGTAGTTCCTGAGATTAGCGCGTTCAAACAAACAAACAAACAAACTCTTCAGCTTTATAATATTAGTATAGATCAGTATGTTTCTCAGCGGTCTGGTTGCCATAGCACAGACTGTCTAGTCTGGGACCATACGGCTGTGTGTGAGATTATTATTACTATTTTCTAAGAACAAGAGATAGCGTTATACGTCACGCATGTGTGCGACAAAGAAAACACTACGTACCAAATTCTGCTTTCGATCCATGGGGCTAAACAGTGTCGTACTTCGATGGGGAAGTGGTCCCCGTAGATGGTTCGAACCTATAAAGAATTAGAAAGTGATAATTAACTTATATAGTTATTATTATTTTTGGAATAGTTTCGTAATCTTATTAATTCCTTTCTCGGGTCGGGTTACAGAGATGTCTTCTTTTTCAGGATTCTTTTGAACAGGATTACGACACAACAGAGAAGTTAATGAGACTCACAGTGCTATAAAATTAAACCCACACTCACACACACACACAACAAGACACAGAAAGAGACACACGCACGCACATACGCGTCTTATCATAAGTCTACAACTGTGAGAAGAACTAGTACCCATGAGTAAAGTTAAATCTTACAATGGGTGCCGGAGCTCGAATGCTTAAGTTTTCACTGATGCTGTTGTGATAATTTGTATGTATGTAAGCATTGTACTTCTTTTCTATGTCAATAAAAAAATATTATTACTATTATTTTTCTAATTTTTCCAAATTTTCTCAGCGTTCAAACTTGCCCTGGGCTTCCACAAATATTTCAAGACCAACTTTAGTCAAATCTGTAAATCCGTTCCTGCGTTTTACTGAGACAATGATATAATGCCGTATTGACCTTGTTGAAGTTATAGGATTTTTTATAATAGAAAATAAACATGAAACTTTTCAATAATCTAATAATGTCAAAGTATTTTTTACAGAGTGTCAGAAACAAAAAACCTAGTAACCTGACAATAGAAGAATAGGCCTCACTCTCAAAGAGGAACTTTACAAAGAACCATAGAGTTTCTATTTCAACAGACCTTTGTTTGTATTGTTTCAAGATATTTGTTAGGTGTTTGTGTGGGGTAGACACAGAGACACAGACAGAGACAGTAGACAGAGATATGTGCACAAGAGAGTAATATATGAGATTACAAAACATTTAGACAAAAAAATTTTTGTTACGAAATTATTTTAATGTTTGTTACCTCAAAACTCTTTCATTTGTAAACCGATTACAAAAAATATTTTTTATTTGGAAGGGTTCCATTCAAATTACTGTGGCGTCTCCCACATTAACAGAAACATACTACAGCGCCATCTAACGAAGACAGACCGAACTATGGAGTAACTACTGAATTAGAATTGCTAATCTTGTATTGCGATATGAAGAATTACATATACAACTTCCCAACATCAACCGTTGGGCCGCGGCCCACCAGGCATGATCACCTCGCCTGGTCGGAGGATCCTCCTTTTGTGTTGGAGGGACATGACACCCGTTCCTCCACAATTACCACTCCTAGTTTTGTAAAATTAAGTAATGTGGAAAACAATATATTTTCGAGTTCAAATGTAACATCTTACTACCTTATCTAAATAAAGTAACGGCGTTATTAAACTATATTTAATATACTACAGTTTGGTACTATACATTACGATACGTAGTATTATAAATATCGTACTTTTCTACTCATTACAAACATATCTTAAACTAAAAATTGTAAAAAAAATCTTTAAAAAAAAAGTTGAACCGACTTCAAACAATACTGACAAAGAACACTAAAAATTAAAAATAAATACAATAAGTACAGGTAACATTATAACAGGAATAGTCTGTTTGAAGTCGGTGCCAAGCCAAATAGGCTTGGTAGTATAGGCTTGGTAGAATGTAGAGTGCAGTGGACTGCACCAAACGCGAACTGGACCAATTGATTAGACATTACATAGAATTCTTTTAAAATAACTGGACATTACTAGCGAACACGTACGAAAATCATTACAGAATACCGAAGCATATCTGTGCCTCGGTGTCCAGACCAGACATATTTCTTTATGCAATGTTAATCAAGCGTGTAGTACTAGTAGAACTCACAGTGCTGTGGGAAACGAAGTTCCCAAAGACCACACTTTAAAAAGAAACAAGTACTTTGACTTAACCAACGAAATAACTAAAAATGGTTATTTCGTTGCGTTGTATGCGTGGAAGTGGGTGCGAGGGGTATACCAGCTAAATCCCTCTATAAACTGCTTAAAGACCTTGGATTGCCAAGAGCTTCAGTAAGCTCTTTTCTAGGACGAATATCCAAATCGGCATTGCTAGGCTCATTTCAAATATGGTTAGGTAGAGGGGGTAACACAGCAGACAGTGGAAGTGAGCGCTAATGAGTCGCAAGGAGTTCTCCCTAAACTTATTCCTGGGTCGCAATTCCCAGGCGCTGTCGAAGTAGCATGTGTTACCCCCATCTATCACGCGATGGACCCGGCACCCGCACGGTGAATCCATGGAACGCCAAGAAATAGGTCTACAGTTACATTATAAAAATAGTTACCTTCTGCAAGCTTTCTGGTGGTAATTGTTGAGCCCTGGCCCAAAGAGACATCTTGACTCTGAAAAAAAAAACATTTTCTTAATTAAAACTGTAAATTTTCTTTATTCTAATCATACATTTTTAACCGACTTCAAAAAGGAGGAGGTTCTCAATTCGATTGGTATTTTTTTTTTATGTATGTACACCGATTACTCTGAGATTTATGATCCGATTTACGTGATTTTTCTTTAGTTTGATGCGGAATAGTTGCCATTTGGCCCCATAAAAATTTAACATAGGCCCAGTAGTTTTCATTTTATGAACATTTTTAATGAATATTATTGTTTACTCTGATGATATAATTTTAGTTTGTGTACGGCCTTTTTAGGAGTTTTCATTTAAGTTGATTATATATAATTAATCAAACGTCAATATAGTGCCACTTGCATGGAATTAATATAATTGAAATTGAATCGCGACATGACTGCACGGATAGCGCAGCGGTTTAAGCGGTTTCCTCGCATCTTACTGCGCTAGGAGTCGTGGGGTCGATCCTCACATGGGACATCACTTTGTGTGACCCACAAACCGTTGTTCTGAGTCTGGGTGTTCTTTGTGTCCGTATCATGTATAACGGGCCTGTTGGTATACCATTATATAGTACAGGTTCTGCCTAGTTTGGGATCAGAGGGCCGTGAGTGAAATGTGTGAAAATATTATTATTATTGTTACATTTATATGTATTTTATGACATAGGTTGCCAATGAGCAGACTGGTCATCTGATGGCAAGCAACTATTACCGCCCATGACCACTTGAACCCATGAACCCATGAAACACAAGAGCATTGGGCCTCCGGTAACTCACTCACTCGGTGAAAAGCAACAAATGAAATGGTTCATCAAGAGCCCCTAACAGTCCACTGCTGGACATAGGCCTTTAATTACTGGCTTTATTATAAGACTGGCCAGACGGGTTTGTTTCAAGCTTTCCTTCTTTTTGCAGTGCTGTTGTCCAGTTTGCTCCCTTACTCGGATCTTACGACACCCACAGGATGAATAGGGGTGGTGGTGTATTCTTAATCCGTCACCACACGGACCATACATGCATGCAACCACGGACCACCAATGACATGCTTAACACTCTTAACATTCTATGAGGCAGTGGTATGGCCGGTTGAGGTGGCCCATACAAGCCAAGACATGACTCTCACAGCATGTAACATTTAGAAATGTCACAAAAGTTTAAGAATTTCTCCTTTTTGAAGTTTCAATTAATTTTAGTCTAATGATATATGTTTTAGAAGAAAATTATGTATATCTTTTGTTATATCCGCTTATAAACTTTATAATAAGTATCTCGGCAGAAAACCATGTCGAAGATAAGCTGGTTATTGAGAAAAAATCAAAAAACCGACTGCGAAAATGTTTGCTTAAAATGTACTAACTAGCAATTTTAATTTTTAAAATTTTCATATGTCCGTGTGATGGTCCGTTATTTTGACATTACAAACAGACACTTCAATCTATATCTATACTAATATTATAAAGCTGAAGAGTTTGTTTGCTTGTTTGAACGCGCTAATCTCAGGCACTACTAGTCCGATTTAAAAAATTCTTTCAGTGTTAGATAGTCCATTTATCGAGGAAGGCTATAGGCTATATATCATCACGCTAAGACCAATAGGAGCGGAGCACCAATGAAGAATGTTTCAAAAAAAGAAAATTTATTACTATTGAGAGACGCAGACGAAGTTGCGCGGGTCAGCTAGTTTTCTATAAAAGTGACGGATTAAGAATACAGAGTGTCACCACCCCTATTCATCCCGTGGGTGTGGTAAGAGGCGACTAAGGGAGCAAACTCTACAGGACAACAGCATTGCAGAGAGATGAAAAACTTGACACAAACCCTATACCAACCCGTCTGACCAGCGTGGTGTAGTAGGCCAAAACCATCTTCTAAGGAGAGGCCTATGTCCAGCAGTGGACTAGTAAAGGCTGTTGATGATGATGAATTTTCATATAGCCCACTGTCACAATTAAGACTAATCTAAAGATACCTACCAAGCCATCAAGCCGTTTGGAATACGCACATGCTAAAGAAATATAGTCTCACTAAAAAGCACGTAACCCCACAGGGGCTTGCGGCAGAGCGGTGTGTGGTAATAGAACCAACTAAAAGCACACGGTGTCACTCCGTGCCTGAGATAGGAGGGGTCCGGGCACAGCTGATATTAAGACATCCGGACCCCTCCCAGCAAAAAAGAAAACCGTGACACAGCGAGGTAAAAAAATCATGTTGAAAAAGAAAGTCTTGGAGTTTCTTACTCAATCTTCTCAATGGGATTTTCTTTCAACTCCTCCGCCATCATTCAAAAGACAATTTAAAAACACTTGTGACTGTGACAATAAATGAATCTTTCTTCTTTTTATATCATGTACTTTTGCTTAATTTAAATACAATTTGATCCAAGATAAACTTCAGTATCATGGGATCAAGCAAATCACACATATTCGGAGATAATAATTATCCATCTTATGAAAAATGATTTAAAAAACGTTGCAAGTAACTGAGTAATGTTAGAGGAAGGTACTAATATTTTATTCAATATGTCAATGTAGAAAAATTGTTCATGAATATTTCAAACTACCCTCAACATAAAAATTCTTTTAACAAGTAACACAGATATGGTAATTGTCAAGGAAAAGGAACACAATCATAATTAGCTAGTCGCTTTATGTGTTACTAGCTTTTGCCGGCGGCTCCGCCCGCGTGTATGTCGGTTATTGCGATTTAAGTTCAACCATCGCAGTGAAGGAATATCGGTAAGAACGGAATCAATACCGTTTCATGTTCAAAGACAGACTGGGCCACAGATAACTAAATATTTACACAACTATCATCACATCAGAAGCCTATAATAGTCCATTGGTGGACATAGGAATCTCCTTAGAATGGAGGTTTTGGCCTTACTTTGGCTTTTACACAACTATATTACCTTCGTTTCGCAAGCTTGAATGTAGACTTTGTTAATTATTTTTATTATGTATGTAGGTTATCGAGTTAAAAAATAGCAAAATGTTGCTCGCTGATAATGTAGCTTTCTGTTAATGAAAGAATTATTAAAATTGTTTTTGTGGCTTAGGTGTGAAAACAACTTTCACATCTAAACTTCTATTCTATTATTATAAAGAGGTAAACTTTGTATAGGTAGGTGTGTGTAGGAGGTAAAGTTTGCATGTTCAGGGTAATCTCAGGATGTCGGGGCACCAGGGACTTCCTTTCTAGGGTATACCTGGTTCCCCGGCTATTAGTACCCGAGACGGCGTGCGGTTTTAGTCCGATGGTGGTGGTGGTATCCGAGGGGATTACCGCACGAAAAAAAAAAAAAAAACAAAGAGTAATCTCAGGAACCACTGGTTTGATTTTAAAATTTTTTATAGTGTTGGATAGCCCTTTTATCGAGGAAGGTTTCGGATAAATAACATCATGCTATGACCAATAAGAGCTGGGTATCAATGAAAAATCAAATCAAAATACCATCAGAAATAAAAAAAAACCAAGCAATGTGTATGAAACTGTTGCAGTCATCAACAGCCTTTGATAGTCCACTGATGGACATAAGGAGAGCCTTAGAAAATAGGTTTTAGCCTGCTAGACCACACTGACCAGACGGGTTGGTATAGGGTTTGTGTAAGGTACTCCTTCCCTTTGCAGTGTTGCTGTCCTGCATAGTTTGCTTGTTTAGTCAGCTCTTACGACACTCACGGAATGAATAGGGAGTGGTGACACTCTGTTTTGTTAATACATCATCACACAGACATTGCTGTTCCTGCTGCATCTCCTAAATAACAACTTAAGCAAAATTGCATATGGACAGCTGATCTCAACGGAAGTAGAGCCCTTACTACGGTAACCAGATTAAATAAATAATAAATAAATAATTTTGTACCACATTCACACAACGCCATCTAGTCCCAAACTAAGCAGAGCTTTTACTATGGGTACTAGACAACTGATATAAATACATATATACTTTTTTTTTTGTAAATACATACTTATTATACATAGAAACACCCAGACCAAATCAAACATAAAATGTTCATGCACACAAATGTTTGACTTGAGTGGGAATCGAAGCCACAACCCTTGGAATAGCAGTCCCTTACACAAACCACTACGCCATTCGGTCGTCAGAGATTGGTGATAAACATGCTTATATATAACTAAATTATTATTCTGCATGTATGTTGATTGTCATGTTAAATAGTAGCCTATGTCCTTTCCCAAGAATCAAACTATCTCTATGCCAAAATTTCATCTAAATCGGTACAGCGGTTATTGATTCCCCATACAATACCCACCCCTATTTTCACCCCCTAAAAGAGCTTACTGGGATAAAAACTATCCTATGTCCTTTCCTGGGACTTAAATTTTATTTTTATCGGTTCAGTGGTTTAAGCATGAAGAGGTAAGAGACAGACAGACACATTGCATTCATAATAAAAGCCGTGTGGTGTCGTGGGACACCCGATAGGAACGAAGTTGTGATGATCGAGTAAAACTGATTAGACACGATTTTAATTACAACGCCATCTATGAAAGCGGCTATTACCTACATATTTTTCAGTTGGTTTCTAATTAAAACAATTTATACATTGGTAAAATCTCCTTGAGAAATGATGTTGAATACAATATTTTTTGCTCAACCTAAGAACATAAATTTTAATTTTACTATTCGATAGATGGCGCTGAATTCAAAATAAAAAGTGTCGTGACCAATTTTCGTAAGAATTTTCCGTCTAGCCCCCTTTCACAACGCGCGATAAGGAACTTCGTTCCAATATTAGTATGGATAAGTTACATCCAGTTACAGAATAAATGATCAAGTTTATCACACAGCTTTTCATCCTGGATGGGAATCACCAGAGCAAATAGGACCATTTGTATTCTTCATCTCTTAATTTCTAGTTATTCTTATTTTAATGGAACCATGAGAATTTGATAAAAGAAGATCAATTAGAAAAATAATTATTGAAATTCTCCTTTCATTCTTGAAATCAGTTCACAAATGGTGATGATATATTCTTCAAGCTGTTGTTAAAAATTAATAAGCTACGTAATAGTAGGCTAAAACCTCCTTTCTAAGGACTGGCTTGTGTCCAGCAGTGGACTATTATAGGCTGTTGATGTGATGTTAGTAAGCTAAGACCACGATGTCTGCATAGTTGCAGTGTCATAACATCAGTAACCCATATCTCAGTCAGTCTAGATGCTGATTGTATTTTGTAGCACTTCTTCCCATATGCCAGCAAAAAAAAAATTATACTTTACACACAGCCACCTGATCCCAAACTAAGCAGAGCCTGCACTATGGTAACCAGACTGCAGATAAACATACTTATATATTACTAAATACATACATATTATAGATAAATTACACACAGACACAGAACAAATGACCGTGCTCAACACACAATATTTGACCTTTTGGCACAATATTTGATTTGTGGGAATCGAACCCACAACCTCCGGCTTTAGCAGTCAGGGTCACTAACGACAAAACCAACAGGCCTGTCTAAATAACAAAGGAACTTACATCACGGAGTATTGTTTACCTCTGTGCTCGGTTTCAAACCTTAAACAGATGCTGTCCAATCTACTTCATTTTAACTTTTAGATTACTAGACTTTGGCCATATGTTATTTTTCTATAATGTTCTAAATTGTTTAATATCCTTTATTGAGGTCAAGAAATTTTATCATAGAGCACTATTCACGTTTTTAAAAAGCTTAGATGCAATTGTACATCTTAATTGTAATGCAAGAATGCTAAGATACAACAACTGAATAAATTATGCAAGAATTTATAATGCAAATACGTTAAATTAACCAATTATACTCACGTTTAAGTAATTATAAACCTAAGACGGTTTATAATTACTTAAACGGTCATAATATTGATATAGGATTGTAAAATTCAACAAGACAAAGAGTAATCAACCAAAAAATTTACCTTTCAGAAGCACATTTTAAATGCAAACAGGCGCGAATGTTAACACGCAACTATGATATTACAACACTTGTCGTCAACAAAATCTTGTATACCTCTAAATAATAATAATATAATTGGTTAAAACTTTTTATTCCGCAGCCCTCCAGGGTAACCGAGTCCCGACAATTTTACCTGTATCGAACGGCCCCAAGGAATTTCCAAGAATTTTGACGTTTACATGTAGTTTACACACACGCGCACAGGAAACAACGCACACAATCTTAAAATTTTATATTTAGAACACGTTCAGCGTTTATACTTACGTAAATAACACACGAAATATCCAATAATAAACTATTTTGCACTGTATACTTGATGTCGAATACACTTATATTAGTTGGTCGTCATATTTTTCATGGTATATTGCACACCGGTGGCGGAGAATGAGACAAAAACTCGCGATAAAAAAAGTGTGATTCAAGGAAATACATGCAAAAACAACCCCCCCACCTACACGAGGTGGGTGTGTTGACAGTTGTGGGGTTACCATAAGTCGAGTTTCACATTGCCGAAACGGTTTATTGGTTATTACAAAAATGCTCAATTAAGCACTAATTAGTGGGATTTTGTTCTAGTAGTTCTTGTACAGTTGGGTATTATAATTTTGTACAATTAAATTAATTATTAATGTAGTAACTTAACACTCAGCAACTTTGGGAACTAAAATAGTATTGTATGATCAATGACATGTGTAATCGTTAATAGTTAAGATAAAATTAGGAAAAGCAAACAATAAAATTAAAATAAACAGGCGGTTGAACAGAAGTTAATCAATCTGACACGAGTTTTTTCAAAATTTAGATCAAGCTTGACTACCTCTCAGGCCGAATGAAATATTACAAAGTGCCAGGAAGTTATAAAAATGAACCTAGTAAATGCTACCTTAAAAGATATGTTGAAAAATAACTTCTAACAAAATTACAAATACATCTTAGAAGACATCAGATAAAAATTACATAAATTTCAACTTAATGAGTGCAGAACTTTTTGAGTTATTGAAGCGTACACAAACCAAAGTAACATTTTTATACCTTAAATCTCGTAATTAAATTTGTTTAAATGTAAAAATTTTACTACATTGATACAGTACCAATTATTATTGGTAATTGACGAAACTGGCAACCTTCTAGATCATTTCTCAGAAAAACGTCTAGTTGTCTCAAATGGTATTTATTATACATTACACGTTTCGTTACACGGAATATCATTGAAATTTATTTTGTTTTTTTTTTTAAACTAGTTACACAAGGTAAAATGGTGGTAGGAGATAAAATAATTAATGTACTGAGCATTGGTGTTGGTATAAACAAATGTAAAATCATTTTGATCACCGATAAAAAATAAAATAAACTTAGTCTAATAGGCAATGAAGTAGCGTGCGGAAGATTTAAAAATGTCTATACCGTTTGACACAAACCTGTCATTCAACAAAATTATTCGTGACAGCGAGTACCTATTAAATAAATTTTAATAAAAATAAGTAGCTACTAGCATGGAAAAACCAAAGATGAAGAAAGGAAAGTAAGTTCCCACGAAACAATAGTTCAGTCATAACGGAACGGTTACTCATAAATGAGCAATTATTGTATTAACTATTAAATTAACAATCGTAACCTTTTCTTGCAATAATTACTTACTTTGCACAATAAATTTGTAGATAATAGTAATAAATGCTAATAAAATATTGTTCCAAGTTACTTAAAATGAGTTATTCGGCAAAAATTTCAGTTATTGGTTACCAGTTAACAAAATATTCCCAATATCAGTGGGAAAAAAGTCATGGCCGTTCATTTTTTGTCTCCATAGATTATACATATATTTATAATTTATATTGTTATAGATATACATTTCATTAGTAAATAATTCATCCAAACCTCAGGTTCGAGGTTCTGGGTTACGTCTGTTGTAGTGAATCATTTCTAGATTTGACTGGAATATTTCAGATCCTATCATTCCTCGGAGCAGAGTTGGTCGAGCCTTGACTTTATAAAACTGACACGTTCAGCCGGTGGTGATACCAGTGTTAAACACAGTGTTGATCACTGAGACGTCTCTGCATATGTACTTCTTGTCCGTCATGATGAAATAATTCTCATTTTTGGTCATAGCGTCGAGGCTTTGTCACGTGCACCTCCTATGGGGTTGTCTCTTGAAGAAAGTCCTCCCGTGCGTTTAAGTTGACAAGCATTTGCCCTCTATGATTCCTACTTCCAAATACATGGGATCGTTCTACCAATTCAATACTCCCATTTAAGCGTTGAAGTCACCCATAACAACGTTGTAGTGGGTCTTAGTTGTGAAGTGGAGGGCCCTCGATATGTCATGGAACATATCCTCCACCTCGTCGTCCGTCCGAGTGTCCACCTCTCAGTGAGCTGCAAAATTTCCACAACGTTGTCAGAAAGGGACTTATTTACCAGAAACCCAACGCCACCTTGAGATTGTTGGTCTCCCTCGCTGAAGTACATTAGGTGGCCTGACTCGAGGGTTATGGTATCCTCTCCCTCTCTTCGGACTTCGCATAGCCCTAGGATATGCCACCTAAGCTTCCCAAGTCCAGCCTTAGCGTGCGTCCGTTGTTCGTCGCCAGGGTCAGTCGGTTTTGGTGGCCTCTCATAGCGCGGAGATTCTTTGCACCCTCTGCCCCGCCGACATCGTGGTCGCCACCATAACCAGAAATAGTTGGACCGCCGGGAACTGGGGGCCGTGGCCTTTGTTGCGTCTGCATAGGAGGGAGGTTTGTTGCCCTTAATCGCCACGCAGGTCAGGCGGGTTGGCGATCGCAAGAAGGAACTACGCCTATCAGGATTTAAAGACTGCCATCGGTCGGTCGCCAGAACCTCATTCGTCGTTAAGTAGGATGCACCACGTGCAGGTGAGATTGGCTTGGAGCGAAAGATGGTGGTTCACACACACACACACACACATCTGCCATGTATTCCCTTTTTGTTATATAATTTTATCACTTTTTCACGGCACAGTCGACAGAACACGTCACCTGATGCATGCTGTGCCTCATGGTATACGAAGCCAACGCCCATCACGCCAAAAAGGTGCCATAACGTCTCAAAAGTTCCCAAGTAAGTTTGCTTAAAAGTTTCAATGTCAGGCTGTGCGATTCTACAATAAAATGCCAAGTAAATTCCATGAACTAAGTTTTAACAAATTTAAGTATTTAGTAAAATAAAAACTATGTGAAAAGGCTAGACTAGACGATTATTATTTAGATGACAAATTTGCTTGAGATTGATGCTAGTGACTTTGTTGTATTTCGTTATTTGTTTGTTTTCAATTTGTTTTATTTTTTCGTTGAGTTTGAATTGTGTAGTATATTTTTTTGTGTTATACTCGTAATGTAAATGTGAGTATAGAGTAGGCTTATAATGTTAGTTTATATTTTAAGAAACTTTCTAGTGGTTTTCGACCAGCCGGCCTACCCAAATGTCCTGCTGCCGGTAGTGTCGTGCTTCGGGCATTGATCTTGGCCATTAAGCTACACGATGGCTCGGGCCCGTATAGCGTCTGCATGGACAGGCCGACTCAAAACTATGGTCCTTTCTTCAAAAGGCCCACCCAGACCCTATACTGTACTCGCACATAACTTTATTTACGGACTTAAAAGAAAGACACCTCTATGGTTTGTTTCGGCGTTTCTTCCCAGAGTGAGTCTTAGGATATGCCGACTCCTTCCAATATCTTAAAAGATTTACTCACAGAAATAAATATAATTTATCATTATTAAATTCCTCACAAACAGTATGACTGAATAACACTGTTTCTGAGGGATAGAAGAATAGTAGTTTAGGACTTCAGTTTTTGTATAAGAGGACAATCGAGTAGATGGGTCCTCTTATGTTAAGTGATAACCGTCGCCCATGAACAAATCAACCCAGCTACAAATCATGAGTTACTAGAAGCAACAAAACAATTCCTTAACATCAGTTTTTTGTAGTAGAATACTTTCTGTAGAATTCTGTAGTATTCTATAATATTATTTCTGTAGTATTCTACTACAGAAAACCGTTGTTCTACTCCGGTTGAGACGACCCGTTTGTGCCGTAGCATGACTCTCCCACGGTAACTACATTTTGAATATTAGTTAAGATTCGAGATTGTTTCTTAATATGTTGTCTATTTATCGTAATTGTAATCATACATAGGATTAGAAAGTTTCTGCTCTGAGTGGAGACATTTCTAAAGAATATTAGTGACACCTGATACAGTGTTACCACCATGTTTTCTTTGTATAACACTTATAAAAACTTAGATATAGTCTGAATGTTTTTGTAGTTCAGGTAAAAATATCGTTTAGCCACTTGGCTTCTTTTTCAAAAACCTTTTCTTTGAAGAGTTGTCTAAAAAAAAACTGTCCTAAAACTAAACTGAAAATATTCTAGGAAATCAAAGTATTAATCCTCTTATTGATCTTGGATTTCATTTAACAGCCTTCGCCAAGCGGGAGACGCGCGAAGACAAGGGGAACAAAAGAATTTGGCTCAAATGGCCATGCATTTAAAATACGGACGGTTTAACAATCAACCTAATTTTACGTAAGTGATGATCCATGCCCAAGTCTCTTATGCGATTGCAAACGGTACCATAACATTTGTGATGGCGAGTATATGTAAACATCCAAAGAACTTACGAGTAATTAATGTAGCTTAGAGAATCAGGGTCTAGAGGCTAAGACTAGACGTTCCGACAACTTCACGGGCATTTTTGGTCACTCTCATCTGATATAAAGTCAGGAGGTGAACAGTGTAGGTTACTTATAGTCGTCGAGTTTGGGATTATATAATTCTTTCGACACTTTAACAGTATAAACATATTGCGGTAGGTAGTAATAGGCTTGTGTCCACTAAAAACAAATTGCTTGGTTTATAGTTTCAAATTATAAATGAAGAGACATAGATAAGAAAAAACCAGTCTATTTCTAATAAAAGTTAAAGATTATTAATATTTTTTAAATAAATTCCTACAAAATAGGCATTAAGTCACGTGACAGCTAACACCAATCAGAAAGTGTTACGTCACGTGTGGACATAGATGTAAACAGTTTTCTTTCGCAGACTGTGACGTCATTCAAGACGCCATGACACCATTCAGCGTTTTCAAGGAAAATTTAATTGTTTTTTTTTAAATACAAAATATATAATGTAAATATTTCTTTAAAATATATTTTTTTTGGTATAAAATAGATATTAAAGTAAATAATTAACCAAGTTTTCAAATTGAGTCAACTAGCCTATTGTCTGATGATCAAACCAGCCGATGGACAGTAGAGCTGTTTTTACGTTTAATTCGCTTTGTCATTACAGCGTTTTTTTACTAAACTTTAATTACTTTACAGAAGACCAGGGCGGCCACGTCAAAAGCTTGAAGCTAATTGTATTTTAATTAATGCACCTAAACGCAGCCAGACCTTAAAATCCAATATTATTAAGAACTCTGAAGGTAATTTGTGTGTTTAAGCTTTTGAATATTGTCTGACTTTAATCATTAATTTACTTAATCATGCCCGTACAACGATGTTGTATGATTTTTGGCACAGAGATAGATAATTGCCTAGCACATAGGGTACTTTTTAACAAGCAAACATTGGTTGAAAATTGACATTAGTGCGAGCGAAGTAAAGCGTAAAAGGTATTATTACTACTGGTAATACTGGTGGTAATATTTTAAGTGGAATAATTATATATAAAAAACTTGATAATTGCTAATAATACCTTACTTTTGACACTTAATTTTGTTTGTTTGTTTTTGAGTTTAATAAGAGAGTAAATAAAACAAAAATTGATCATAATTTAAAGAAAGTGTCTGTTTCTTCCTAAATCTGACTCATCCTGTCTTTTTCTTATTTTCCAATCTCAGAACTAGAATATCTCTCCACTTGCTGTTTTATTGTTATCTATACTAATATAATAAACAGGTAAAGTTTGTCAGTTTGGATGTTCGGGTAAATCTCAAGAATTACTGGTTCGAATTGTTTTTTTTTTTATTTGATAGCCCTTTTGTTTAGGACGGATTTAGGCTAATAACATCATGCTACGACTAATAAGAGCCAACCATCAATAAAAATGATGCGAAAACGGAGAAGATTCTTTTGATAGAAGTAGACAAAGTTATGAGGGTCAGATAGTCAATACAAATAAATAAAATTGGAGTGTCTGTTTGTAATATTAAAATAACCGCTCTTTACTAAATGCATATGTATGTTTACACGGTACATATGCCAAAATAACATTTTTTACAATTTTGTCTGTCTGTCTGTTTGTTTCGGGTAATCTCTGAAACGGCTGGACCGATTTCGACGGGACTTTCACAGGCAGATAGCTGATGACATAAGGAGTAACTTAGGCTACTTTTTTTTAGACTAGCTTCGCCCCGCGGCGTTGCCCGCGGTTATAACAACAAACGCGGGTAACACCGCGGGTCTCATCTAGTTCAAAATATAAATAAATAAATATAAATGTAAGTAATCTTTATCAGTTAACATTTAGTAATAAATTGATTTTTATAATCATTTTCAGGCTTTAAAAGTGAACAAGAATTCCTAGCTCAGAAATCAGATAAACTCTATCACCACCTGTCCCTGTCGGAAGTGATGCATATAGATATAAGACCACCTAGAAACACTAAAGCTTCCTCCCCTGTTCACTGGACGTCATTAATGAACGCCAAATACAAACCTTCAAGAGCCCTGTCACCCAGAAGAGGTTAATAACTGTTAATATCCCTACTGTACCGAAAAGTGTACTGTGGTTCGACCATAGACATAGAGATTATCTATGTCTATGGGTTCGACTATGTTTGAAACGTTATTTCAATTTTCAATTTTCCTTCACATCTTGGCTTTTCCATGTGCCGCCGCATTATTAGCGTTTTGATTCTTTCATATTCTTAGCAAAATGTTTTTGATAGGAATAGATTTATTGTTAGAAACTAGAGGTGTTAAGTTGCTTAAATATTTAATTAATATGTTTGTTAATGTTTCCTGTAATATTTTGACGGTAATGCGACGGAAAGTTACTTATTATCTAATAAGAAAAATCGGTTTACATAAGAAATCATGATTGACAAGTCTTTCGTAAAAAATAAGAAACGAAATGGTACGAATTCTTTTGTTTTTTTTCCCTTTGTGACTTTGTGTTTAGGACAGAACCGCTGTTATTGCCCATTTTGATCTCAGTGAAAGCTTAATACAAAATTTTGCTTTTCTTTTTTTTTTTTTTTGTTAAAATTAATCTAATAAATATAATTTGGTAAACAGTTATGAGAATGCTAATTTATAGTACACTCACATGTGAAAAAATGTTGTCATAAATAAAATGTCAAATGTTTATAAAAATGAAAATATACGTTTACTTTTATTTGATAATTAATTCTACACGTAATAAATCTTCCGTCGATTATCATGGTAAAAAGTAACCCATGTTACTCGCTGATAATGCATCTTTACATTGGTATTTTTTTTGTCGGTTTATTGAAATGGTTTGGTTAAGGCGTGAAAGCGTAAAAAACATACTCTCTTTCACATTTATAATCACATCAACAGCACTTTAATAGTCCACTGCTGGACATAAGCCTCTCCTTACAAAGGAGGATTTGGCCTAATACACCACGCTGGTCAGACGGGTTGGCATATGTTGTGTCAAGTGTCCTGCTTTATATGCGCCCTTAGTCGGCTCTTACGACACCCACGGGATGAATAGGGGTATTGACACTCTGTATTCTTAATCCGTCACACCACACGTATCTATATTATATAAAATTAAAAACAGAGTGGCTCAGTCAGTGTTGACTGATATTTTATAATAAATAAAAGGACAGGGAAATGTTTGAAATTTTATTTATCGGAGGTGTCAAAACAAAAAGATACCATTATCACATAAAATAATGACTGTTGTAGCATAAGATTGACTAAGCTTCTAAGGCAGAAAATGCAATAATAGAGAAATGGAGAGGATCCCATAGATTTCGGGGGTTTATGCCAGCGAAAGGGAGAACTTTTATTTTTGTACTCACCCAGGACGTGGGGTATGGTGTTTTTTAAAGGTTTGGTACGTATTAAATCAAGAATCAGAAGCTGGTTAACATTCTAAATTAAATTGTTACTCTTCCCAGCCACACTATACATACGAATACTACATACCAACTACTCTACCACTCGTTGATACACAAAGTACATACGTATACTTGGCACACTTTCTCTGTATGCTTTTCTAATCTGTAGAACAAGTTATAGTCTGCTGTATTTCGTGACATATTCCTTCAAACCTTCAAGAAAAGAGCGTACTCCTTCCTCAAAGGCCGGCAACACGCTTGTGACTGATTCACAGGTGTTCATGGCCACCGACATAGCCACCACCGGTGGTATCCGAGGGGATTTCCGCACGGAAAAAAAGAAAAAAAAAGGTGTTCATGGGCGGCGGTAATCGCTTTCCATTAGGTGACCCGCCTCCTCTTCCTTAAAATGGTAATTTCATTCATAAATGCCTGCTATTCCTGAGGGATATCTGAACTTTGGCTAATAGTCCGTTTGAAATAAAACAACATTTTGTATACACTTAAGTCGTAACTTTATTTCATGTTTTCACATTCATTGATAATAATCACTTTGCAACATATCTAATTATAATTAAATAACAATCACGAACATCAGTTAGACTGGGAATATAAATAATATGTGAATTTGATAGAAATATTCTCGAAGAAGTTTTCAGACTGTTTAATATTGCGCTACGACCTTTGCAAGCCAAGTAGTGACTAATAACTAAAGAATATGATCAATTGAAAATTTTTAGGGAACATCGAGTTCGAGAGTTGGCAACACTGAGTTATGGCGTAAATATTACTTTGAATTTTGGCAGTCTTAATTTAGAACTAGTTATTAACGAAATCATAATTTTATTAGTGACGACTTTGGACGTAACATATAATTGTTTAATTAGATATGTTATCAAAGTAAATATTGGTAAAATTATTGTTTATCTTAAATCTACACATTGCAGTCGACACATACAGATTTAATTCCAAGAAACGCCGTTAAATGACTATGGCAGCACTGTGCTAGGAATGCCTTGTTTTATTTTAATAGTTGCAACTTGCAACACTTAAGTAGTTTGTGATTAAATAAAATGGTTCCCTTATATAGAATAGAATTATACAAAAAAAATATTACTACCATAGTCACATGTTCAGAGTATATTCTTAACAGTATTTGTTTTTACATTTAAGCAGTTTTTACATTTTAATTTGTTAATGACCCGTAAAAGAATTAAAAATTAAATGTAAAACTACATTTAAGAAATAAAAAAAGACGAAGTGAAATAAATATGAAAGAAAATCAAGTATAGAGTTAAAAAGTATATTTTTCGAACATTACACAATAATTTTACGAGTCAATACCAATTAACAGACATCCTTCAAATCCCTTGTAAAATTTACAATATATTTTTATCAGTGGGCAGAAAATTAATAATCTGTCAAAACCAATCCTCTTTTACATTTTTTTTAATTACTTCCAATTTTAAAACCTAATGTAGTTTTAATTTGGCTTTCTCAGTCATTCTTTACTCTTCTCTCTCTCTCTCTCTCTCTCTTTTTCATGGCATAGGGGTCGAAAGAACACAGAACTTATATATATTAAAAGATTTACAGATAATAAAGAATGGACCAGTTTTTAAAGTATAATGTAAAACTTTATATTTTATACAAAGTCAACTAGTGCTGACTAAAAACCCCATTAACATAAGAAACAAATCTTATGACCCCTATTAGATCTTTTAGGTGTGGTACCTTTTTTTTTTTAAATTAATAGTAGTTAATTATGTTATACTGTCCCGTTCATTCATTATCTTTTATTATCTGCCCACTCACACTCGAAGAGATTTACCTGTAGGTGTATGAACACAGTCATTAGCATAAATTACATTATATTTTCAATATATTTCAAAAATCATATGTATATTGTCTCTCCTTCCAGACGTCTAATGTGAAATAATATAATATTGGACAGTAAAGGAAAACATTAACTAACTTTTAATAGAAATAACTAAAAAATAATACTCTATAAAAGAATATTTACATGTTATACGAACAAGTGAAAAATAATACACACAATTATAATAAAATTCACATTAATAATATACATAGTAATTTGGAGAATGTAAAATAAAAATGGCGCGAGGGGTCTATGGACTCCCGGTTTGAACGAAGCTCCTTTCGCTTTTTGGTAGACGTTTGCTATAAATTATGAATTATAAAAAAGACGTAAGCGTAGACGCGCCAACTGAACCGCGGAGAAAAATTTTGTTACACATTTTTCGGTCTGGCTCCCGCGCGCGGTAAGGAACTTCGTTTCAATAAACAAATACTTATGTAAACAACACTCTAACTATTCACATCGACCAATCTACCATAGTATTAGTTAATAATTGGCGATGTCCATATACAATAAAACAAACTTCAGTGCCATCACAGCGAACTACGAACTATTAATCCTGCATCTCGTAATCAAAGTTCTCACGCTGATTACTATATTTGTATGCATACAAACAGGGCCGCGGTCCTCCAGGCATGATCACCTCGCCTAGTCGGAGGATCCTCCCTTTGTGTTTAAACTGACTCCTCTATAGTGTGTATTGATATAGCGTTACATTATATATAGTTTAAATAACTTTTTAGAGGCTTGATACGTTTAGATTTTCCCTTGCCTCGCATACAGTCAAACTACATAGGTAGAAGAGAAAGCTGGCCACGATCCGAATCCGAACAAAAAATCGTTTTAGATCATAATATGACTATTTTATTTCAACAAATTCAAGCGGCAAACATAAAACTAAGCGGGAGGGCCGTGCTTCAGCGTATTTGGACTGATTCCACCGGAGTGATAACATGGCCTCACAGAAAAAGCAATCATTATATTTTTTTCAGACATCTCACACAACGTTTAACTATCTTTTTTGACGTGACAACGTCTTATAATTCGATGGAGCCGGCTGCACGCACGAAAAAACATGACTCATGCGGCGTTACCTCGCTCTGAGGCGTTCCATTTAAGGCGTGAAGTGCAAGCGAGAGCGCGGAACGAGTGACAAAGAGGCACAATCGGCCTCCGCGTTCGGCAGCGTTCGACATCTGTCTCTCTCAAGTAGGAACTTGAGTGAGCGATGCGTCCGCGTGGACAGCTACTACTCGTATACAATAATACATTTTTGAAAAATGCAACCATTCTATCAGTATTTTCTTATGACGTTGTCACGTTCAACTATCGTCAGTAAACCAACTTTATTTTATAAAGGGTAGAATAGCAGACGGGTTATGAACGTATGCAACTCCCATAATAACTGAGAATAAATGTTTGTCTTCTTTTAAAGACATCTCCCGAATTAGTAATATATCCTGCGTCGCGAGGGACTTTACAAATATACATGAAAAGCACACAACGAATACCCAGACAGATCACACAAAGTGTTGTCCCATGTGGGGATCGAAACCACAACACTCAACGCTGTAAGAAACGGCGAGGTGACCGCCATCTGTGCCGTCAATATCGCGAATAGCATTAATTAAATAAATATGGTTTTATTAACGCATGCATCTAAAGTAGGCCGGGCCTTAGACTTATTCTTGACCTCTGTCGGTGCCATATGATTACAACTGTTTATAATTAACTACTTTTTTTAGGTATAGGAGGGGGGGAAGAGGTCAAACGAGCAG